AGAAACAGTTTTAAAGATACTAATGATTATTCCACTATATATATATGCTACCTCTGCGGTCCAATAAAGTATTTTGCTGCATATTTGGAGGTTTGTTTTCATTGTATTGGTCTTCTTCTATTTCCTTGTCCTCTTTTTTTCCCTCGCTTGTTTGAATTCTCCTTTTTGTGGGAGTTTGTGCAGACCCTGTGTTTTTCTGCTTACTGACCACATGTCTATCACGAATACGTTTATACCTTTGATTGATGAACCCACACTGTTGTACAAGAATATGCACTTGGGGTATTGGGGTTTTGGCATTGTGTGATTTGTTTTTATATATACTGTTTTGGGGTCTGCATCATCTTGTAGAAGGGCTATTCCTTTCTACTACTATACTATGCTCTCGTAGCTGCTTCTCTTTCTCTTTCTTTCTCTCTTTTGTTCCCTCTTTTCCACATTCCTTCGAATAGACCTGTGAACTCAAGTGACAAGAAAGACAACAAATACAAGAAGAAAAAGAAGAGCAATGATGACGATGATGCGCCGTGTGATGTGTGTGTTGGCCGTTGTGCTGTGCTGCGCCTGCGGGTATACCATGGCGGCTACTGCTGCTGATAGCAGTGTGGTGTCACTTGCTCCCATTTTTATGGATTGGGGTAACCCAGATACATCATTTGCGTCGCCCCCAGAGAGTACAGGAAAACCCACTGGGACAAGAGGGAACACTAATGACGTAACGCATTCTCATGGTAGTGGAGTGGTGAATGAAGGAGTCCCCAATGGGAGAACAGAAGAAAGTGTTGAGGAGTTGCCACCCGGAGGCGGTCCAGTTACTCAGGTGCCTGGTAAGGACGGTGAACTGTCCAAACCTCAAGTTTCTTCAGATCATTCCCGTGGAAGTGAGGCAGGTGATGTAGAGCATGGAGCATCGGCAGTAGAAGGTAAAGGATCTTCTCCTCTTCAGAGTGGAGTGAGCAGGTTACCATCAACAGGTACTGCAGGCACACACAAGGAAGAAGAAGAGGTTAAACAAACACAAAGCCAAAATAACGGGACTGATCCTGCTACGCACGATACTGAAGAGGCACCAAGCAACACATCTGATAACACTACACCTGCCGACTCTAATCCTAACCAGCCATCTCCAGAAGCTGCAGGTGCAACTGCTGCATCAGACTCACAAGAAACCACTTCCACTACTCAGCCAAGTCCCGAGAGCAATGTCACAGAAGCACCAACCACCACTCCATCTTCTGTACCCAATTCAGATATCAACACCATCGCTTCCACAGTAAAGAACAAGGGTAATGTTGACAGCAGTGTCAGTCCTGTATGGATGCGCACTGCAGCACCGCTTCTGATTGTGGCTGTATTCTTCTCTTTTACTGTGTACTGAACAGTGGAACTCACTTGAGGACAAATAATAATAATGGTAATACTAACATAGTCATAATTGTGTACATCCCCCATGGGTGAATAAATTAATAATCTGTTTACCAGCTTTCTCTTTTAATTGGAATTTCTTTTACTTTTATGTGTGTGTGTGTGTTCTTTTTCTAATTAATTCCATTACTTGCTTTTCCCGTTGTGTGTGTTTGCAGAAAACTGGGCTGTTCTGCTCACTGACGGTATACATCTCTTGCTAGTACACCCAGATGTCTGTGTGTGTGGAGTAATTTAGTACAAAAACTAGAGCCATGGGGTATTGTGTGTGTGTTCGGCTCTCTCTCTTATTTGGGTATTGTGGGGTGTTTTCTTTTTCATTTTTTCTGTTAAGAGTACATATTATCACGCAAGTGGCATATTTTGTTTTCTCGCTTTATGGTGCAGTTGTTGCTTCTCTCTCTCTATTCCACTGTGAGTATTTGTTGTACTTGTTTGTGTATGTTTGTTTGTTTCTGTTTTTCCCTCTATACTCTTTCTTCTTTGTTGTGCATACCATTGAAGTAATACAGGTGCAACGATATCCACAACAATACCTGCAACCATTGGAATAATAATAATGATGCGCTACGTGCTGTGTATCCTCGCTCTCCTGCTCTCCTGTGCGTGTGTGCACGTCCTCGCTGAAGAAGTGCCTGCCGCCGATCTTTCCGACCAAGTCCCTGATACGGAGAGTGAAAATAAAGATGTTGGTGCTGGTGGTGCAAGGGTTGAAAGGTTGGAAAGTCGTCCTGGGGAATCGGGTACATTGCCACAAGATCAACTTGGAGGAAAGTCACCGCAAGAAGTTAGTGTACAAAATCCTCAGGGTCCCGAAGGTGAATCTGGTGCCCCTGGTGGTTCTCAGTGCACTGCTGATGGTACTACTGGGTGCCCTCCTGGTGGTCCTGCTGCTGGTGAAGCTCCTGGTTCTCCGTGCCCCAATGGTGTTCCTGAAACTGCTACCACTGGTAGTACTGGTGCTTGTACTTCTGGACAACAACCAGCTCCAACTACAAAGGTACCAGAACCAACTACACCAAAGGAACCAGCTCCAACTACAAAGGTACCAGAACCAACTTCACCAAAGGAACCAGCTCCAACTTCACCAAAGGAACCTGAAACTGGTGGTGCTGACAATACAAATACTGAGAATGCCAATATACCCAATAATGATGAGGAATCAAACTCAACCACCACCACCACCACAACAACAACACTTCCTCCTGAACTCACAAACAACAAGAAGGGTGATGCAGACAGCAGCAGCAGTATCAGCAGTTCTGTGTGGGTG